AAACTGCACGCAACACACCCGAATATCCAAAGTGTCATCTTTGGGCGGATCAGAAGCAAATGTGCACAGGCAGATCGACTTGTTTGATTGAGATCTTAGTTGTGTTCGATTTGGTTTGAGCAAAAGTGAACGACATGACCCTTGACTGCTTGTCATTTCCTTGGTAGACATCGTTGCGCGCCCCTGACTTGCAGGCAGCGGGTTTTGTTCGATCCGTATGGGTGTGTTTTCTTTTGAGGGTACCGTTTTTTTGTGGGCTTTAAAGGAAAACCTGGGGGTCCCCTAAAAAGACACGCACACATGTTGTCCTAGCCAAGACTGAGTGGGGAGTTGCGGAGGAACAACCCAAATCCGTTGATGTGAGGGTTTCCTATATTTTGAGAAACGAGGTCCCATCTCGAATCTTGCCATTTACCATCCCTTGGGCTTCTTTTGGTATCTTACACATATATATATATATATATATTTTTTGGGAATCAGACCTCATAGCCTGTGCGGTTGGCCTTTAAAAGCAAAACCATAGCGGGCCGTTGGTCAACAAAACAGGCTGCTTTTGATTTTGTTTGGGTGTTCTTCCAATGGCTTCCGTTTTTATTCAACAACAGACCTGGTGTGGACTGGTGGCTAACAGAAGGTTGTTCGGGGTATCCACGGCCCGTGAGGTCCATGCTGGAGCTGCCCCATTCGGTGCACCTCACCTGGGTGGTGGACATTGACGTGCAGAAGGCCCAGCGTGTGGCCGCGGAGGTGGGGTGCCGATGGTCCACCAGCCTGGACGAGGTGCTGGAGGCGGTTGATGCGGCCACTCGCCAAGCAGTGGCTATGATTTTGATTGTTGGAACAACTTGGGCCTTGCAGTATGGGTGCCCAGTTGCTCAGTGGAGCCATTTTTCTCTTCTTGTTTGGTGGCCTCCCCACAAAATATGGTCTACTTCCGAAAGCGTTCCTTTTTGCCAACGCCACTGAACAACGAGGTTTGGAAAGGACATACATCCCAATCTGAATTAAACCTTCGGCAAGTGAAGCTTACGGTACGTGTATGCGGCTACTTGGACCCTCACCTCTTGCTCCCTCAAGGCTGTTTCAAAGCAGGTCCAAAAGGACCCCGATCCTTCCTCGAAACTGGGAGCTCCGAAACGACTTGTATGTTAAATCAGGCGCATTATTAAACTAACGTGAGCCACGATAAATTCCCGATCAACGAAGACAACACATCTGTTTTGTGTCATTTGCGTTGCCGTGTGTGTGTGTGTGTGTGTGTTTGCCTGTTTGCTTTGCCTTGACTTGCCTTGCTTGCTCCTGCTTGCTTGCTTGCTTGCTTGCTTGCTGCTCGCTGCTTGCTTGCTTGCTTGCTTGCTTGCTTGCTTGCTTGCTTGCTTTCTTGCTTGCTTGCTTGCTTGCTTGTGTCTTTCTGTGCTGTTCGTTTGTGTGTTTGTTTGTTTGCTTGCTTGCTTGTTTGTTTGTTTGTTTGTTTGTTTGTTTGCTTGCTTGCTTGCTTGCTTGCTTGTTTGTTTGTTTGTGTGTTTGATTGATTCGTTGATTGGTTGATTGGTTCGTTGCTTCGTTGGTTTGCTGGTTGGTTGGTTGGTTGGTTGGTTGGTTGGTTGGTTGGTTGGTTGGTTGGTTGGTTGGTTGGTTGGTTGGTTGGTTGGTTGGTTGGTTGGTTGGTTGGTTGGTTGGTTGGTTGGTTGGTTGGTTGGTTGGTTGGTTGGTTGGTTGGTTGGTTGGTTGGTTGGTTGGTTGGTTGGTTGGTTGGTTGGTTGGTTGGTTGGTTGGTTGGTTGGTTGGTTGGTTGGTTGGTTGGTTGGTTGGTTGTGATTGGTTGTTTGTTTGTTTGTTTGTTTGTTGTTTGATTGTTTGCTTGCTTGCTTGCTTTCTTTGGTTGTTTGTTTGTTTATTTGTTTCTCTCATTATTGGTTTCTTTATTCCTGTTCCTAATGTCTTTGTTTCTGCTTTTGCATTTTGCTTGCATGTGCGTGCGCTTTCCTCCGGTTTGTGTGTGTGTGTGTTTTCGATGCAAGGCGTTCTTGTTTCTCCTCGCTCATGTCATTGTTGGATTCTTAACTCACTTGTTCCTGCAGTTCTTCCTGTCTTCTCCTTGTTGAGTTGCGCACGTTTTGCCTCGGTTTTGGTGGCTACTTTGTCGGTCAGCCCAGGTGATTATCGCCTCAACGACCGACACACACTTTGCTTACATTATGAAGGCACGTCAGACTCGACGGATACCGACCAGCCGAACAACTCAAAGCGCTAGTTGGTTTGGAGTGGCTGGGATGTTTGAACCTCTTGAGGACTCACTTAATTTTGACTACAAGCAAGAGGGACTGACTAAATGTCAAGCGGAAAGCAATAATAACACGGGGAGACTCACTTGACCGTGGCTCATGTTGATCAACGACTGCTCGTAGATGATGGCACGTAAAGGGATACGTTGGGCAACCAGCCTGAACCCTTGCAAGTGATTGTTGCTTGCTTGTCAGAGCGATATTGCTGCGGTTCGGTCCACGCTTGTCCCAATGAGCGTTTCTCCATTTTAGACAGTGTGGCCTCAAACATCACTGGGCCAGGGTTCCATTCCTTGGGCCTAGCTGCACAAGAGAGAGGAAAGTCGCCTCAGGGATGGGTAAAGTTGCGCAGGATTGATTGCACAGCGGGACTGGGTCAAGACTTGTAAGGATTCTGTTGTTTTCCGTTTGATGTCCAAGACCCCAGTGTCCTATTGAGGCCCTCAGAAAAGTCGTGGATGCTCGGAGTCCTATGGAGGCCCTAGGAAAAGCTGTGGATGCTGCTGCTAGCTGGCTTTCATCTATGCCAAACTGGCGGGCGTGCATCCTGCTTAAATGCAAGGCCATCGTTCTGCTACGAATGTGTGCTGGGCGGCGTTTCAACATAGAACCCATAAAGACTTTGTGCTTGGAGTTTGATGGACAATGCAAACGGAAACCATTGCCATTCGTAGGGCGCCCGTTTTCAGGCAAACACACCTTTGTGCGTTCAGATGACTCTTGCAAAGTATACTGGCATGAAAGCAGCCAGAGCATGGGTCTCTGTTTTTGTTGGAGCCCCCGTGGCGGGTGGTCAAAGTCCTTTTTGAGATCCCTTCAAGGTGGCGAAACATGTTATCAGGGTCCAATTCTGACAATCTCCCATTTGCTACTTAGTGGCACCGCTGGTTCTGAGTTTTCGCCAGATCCCTGAACCATACCTAAGGGCAACCCCTCCAAATAAGGAGTGAATACAAGATACATTCGGCGTAAATGAGCCCAAGGCTGAAGTGTAACTTGTATTGCTGCTTTGGCGCTGGGAATGTGTAGGGCCACTGGGGTTTGTCACATCGAGAGGCAACCAACAACTATGGCAATCGCAGGCGCTGACCGCCGGCAAAGCTGTGCTTGCTGAGAAGCCGATCTCTCACGAGCTCCATGAGGTTGCCTCGGGCAAAATCGCAACCTAGGGTCAATCCACCCAAACCACGAAACCAGCAGGCCTGAGGAACCATGGTTGGTAATCATGTGGAACAAACAAAAACACTGGGCGAGAAAGCAATGTTGCCTGGCACAATACCAACATTGGAAGTTGGCGCCCGCAATTGGCTGGTAATGTTGTCTCACCCTAGCAACGGTATTTACTGGGAGGCTACCAGAGGATGTTTGAAAACCAGGCTCTCGGAAAGGGAGGGGAGAACCCACAAGGCTGCACATTTGTGAGTTAGATTCATGAGTGGTTTCGAGCTTTTGGCCTTCAACCAGCTGTTGTTTGGTCATTTGAGCGTAGAATCGCATAAATCTCACCGACTTCCTTGGTGGTCAAATGAGCTCATGACGGGCATCACCTCAGTCCAAAGCCTTGAACACTTGTATTGACTCCTCCTAAATGACTGTATCAAGGCTGCCGGCATGTTCCCATTTTGTTACAGCATAATGCCACCTTGTGGAAAGGATGATGTGGATTGTTGATGTTTAATTTGAAATTTTAAGTGGGGTTTAAGGGACCCTGTAGATTTGGAGGGCTCCTTGTGGAAGAACACCCGCTCCAATTAAGAAGAACTTCCCCCAAATCCTGGGGTATACAGTGTCAACATTGGAGTCAGGGCTTGGCAAAGACTCTGTCACAGGCTTGATAATCCCTACCAGCTCGTTTGAGGGTCTGGTTGGGAGGTTGTGTTCAAGGGAAACCCATCATGAGGTTTTATTTATCCAGAGACAGCCCTCCCAGGTCCAGCCGCGGACAAGCCAGGGCAAGCCTTGAGGGACTAATAAGACGGTGGACGGTCCACGTAGACCGTTGACATTTCTCTGGTCACAAGGCGACGTCTACTTAAGGTTCCCACACCTTAGTTAGCGTGCAGGGAGAAGTGTTCACATCTGTCAGGCAGCTACTGTTCATATGATTCCCAATGCTTCCCTTGGCTAAATTAAACATGAACCACTGGGGGCGTGTGAATACCCAGCCTTCTCCCGCGGTCAGGTGGCGGAGGCTGTGAACTTGGCCAAGTCCAAGAATTTGGCCTTCGTTTGCGGCTACTCCGCCTAAACAGTCGTCCGCCCCAGCAAAGATGTTCAAGCCTCATCATGCAGCTTGTTGATGTGGTGGCCGGAGCCACAATGACATTGTTCCTGTAGACGACCCTGACCTTCTTCCAGGAGTAGTAGCCAAAATAGCAATGCCTTATACTATAAAGCCTAGGGCCTATTAGAACCAATAGTCAATGGATTGTGTGAGCTGTTCACTTCATGGTGTGCTTGCAACATAACACAAAGCACAGAATTCAATCCGCAACATTCTAAGACACATGCATCTTTGCTACTTTGGAGTTGCTCGTTACTTGGTCATGTTTTTTGTTCTGTTGATACTTCAGAACTATTAATGCATCACCCGTGCTGCTTGGCTCCTTTTACTGTTGCTTTGTTTGTTATTGCTTCCACCGCAAATACAATCCAGACTGAACAAGAACTTCCCTAGGTTGGTTGTTTTGTTGCCAGCTCGCCAACCCGAATCCCAGCTGCGAGTTTGGTTATACATATATACGTTTACATTGATACGCAGGTTCATTCGGCGCCTGTGTTGTGCCTGACATGTGGCGAGGCTACCAGCGGCGCTTCGACACGCACTTCCGGGAGCTGAAGCGGCAACTGGACGCGAATGCAGTGGGCAGCTTGAAGCTGATCAAGACCTGCAGCCGCGACAACCCGGTGCCCCCCCTGGAGTACCTCCGTGCCTTCGGAGGGATTCAGAAGGGGTCCCCCAAAAACCCCCGGGAGCGTTTGGCGACAAATACAATGGTTTGGAATGGTTGATTGCATTTTTTCCCGGAAGCAGCAGAGTTTTTGTCTGTGTCAGAAGGGGTGGTGGTTTGTTCTGGTTTTCTCTTTCGAGATTGGGTAGACAGTGCTGAATGTTGTATTAAGCTGCTGTTTTTGTTCGGCTCAGTTTCAGTCTGAGGCAGCATTGCTGATTTTTAGGGTTCCCCCCTCAGGAAGACACACTCGGGGCACGGCTGGGGGGGCAAGCCCTGACAGGCACCTCCGGGGGAATCTTCCATGACATGCTGATCCACGACTTCGATATGCTGGACTTTCTGAGCGGCGGCCAGGAGCCAGAGGCCATCACAGCCACGGGCCACTGCTACCATCCGGAGATCAAGAAGCAAAGCAGTGAATGGCTTGGATTTCATCCCCCAAACTGAACCGTATGCAGGGCGGCCTTTCCCATCCCTTATGGCTTTGGGTTGTTTTCGATATCGTCGACATCTTTCAAGTTGGAGTTTTTGACAGACCTGGCCTTGAGGAAATCCACTCATTCAGAAATGGGGACCGGGGATATAGGCACCGGTTGTTCTTTATAATCCTAAACGGCTGTCTGCATGGGGAGTAGAGGAGGAAGGTAGTTGGCTTTCGGGTACCGGACATTGGAAATCCTCTTGGATTCTGAAGGGGGGTGGTGGTGTAGTCCCTGTTTCCATGTAGTCCCTTTTCCCTTTTGCTCGCTTGGCAGTCCTTCTTTGAGAGTATGATCGATCCCCAAAATATTGCACAGGAAACACTAGTCCAATTTTTAGTGCATCAGTGCAAGAAGGGCAAACTCAAAGCAAGCCAGTCATCTCAAGGGTGTCTCCCATTTTGAGAGAGGGGGAGAGAGCCTTGAGAGTTGCCCAAGCCCCTTTTTGGACCTGTTTCGGTGCGACTCCCGCCCCACCCCCCTCGAGTTTGCCTCATGGGGACTGGTTGGAGATAGTTGAGGATTAGGCCAAACCATGATTCAGAGGTCCCATGGTCGCACACAGAGGAACATGGGATCCATGGTTTGTTTCCTTGCCAAATTGGCCCAGCTCTGGAACACGCTTTGCAACATCTAGCTTGTTTTCTTTTCGCACCAGCTGCAGCAAGGTTCCTCTAATTTCATAAACTTTCCTAGAAAACTGCAGCGACCCCCTCTGGAGACCCATGTTTCTTGCCAACCGCTATTTCCTAAGGTCAACATCAGTGGTCTCAGTGGGCCGAGATATTTTTGCAGGAGGGGGGGGGGGTAGATTGTTGAGATTGCCCTTCTGCCTTCTTGGGTTCCATCAATCTCCAGCCTTTGTGTTCCATGCTGTCTTTTTTTTGGTTGCCCAGTGCACATCTATGGGTTTAGAGAGCTTCTCACTCAGGAAGATGGGTGACGTTGACACGGCGGCCGTGCTTTTGAAGTATCCAAGTGGCCTGATTGCCATGGTGGACACGAGCCGTGACGCATCCTATGGCTACGATCAACGTATTGAAGCATTTGGGGAAAGAGGCGCCGGGAAGGGGCACGGGCTTTCTCTTGGACGCTTCCTGCCTATCACTCTGTGCCAGATTCGTTGTTGCCTGCCTCACTGTGCGTGTGCGGGGGGGGGGGGGGTAATTATTTGTTTGTCCCTTCTCTATTCACTGTGTTTTGAACTTGGAGATCTCTTCCCCCTATGGAGGGCCCGTGTCGTGCGATTGATTTTGCGGCATTTGTGGCAATGTTCACACGTACCAAACAGGAACTCTCAAACACAACAGAGAGAGAGAGAGAGAGAGATAGAGCGAGGTAGTGAAAGGGAGCAAAACGATAGACCTAGCGACACAGCCTCAGACACACAGGCACACAGTCGCACAGACAAACGGACATGCAGACGGAGAAGGAGACAAAGACAGACGAACAAAGACAGGCACAGTCACCTACAGGCAGACGCACAGAGATGTGCCCCCACACCCGCCACACCCACCCACCCACACACACACACACACTAGCTTGGACATAGAAGATAGTAAGTGAGACAAAGGTCTGTTTTTCAGCGGCTTATCCAATGTTTATCTCAGACAGGTTTGGCTGTGTTCCGCCGGAGATATAGTAGACTTACGAGTAGCTAGCTAGGAAACTAGAAGATAGTTGTTTTTCTATCTTTCACACATCTTCTGCTAAAAGAAGAGAGAAACAATGTTTGTCTTTCAAATATATATATATATATATGTTTGTTCTTATCTTTCTGTATAGTTGGTTTCTTCTTTTTTATATCTTTCTTTATTTGTTTTGTTAAACAAGTCTGTTTTATGTATTTTTCTAGCTAACTCCCACTTCACGAAAAAGCAGCAGGCCGACCAAGCAGGCGAGTCAGAAAAAGCCAACTCAGAAAACCAAGGCAGCCACACACAACGAGCAAAAATAGAAGCCCAATGGAAAAATCCACTGGCTTGCTTGGCCTGCTGCTTTTCCTGAAGCGATAGTTCTTTCGAAGAGCGTCTGGTTTAATCATTGTGGTGTGGCTGCCGTTTTTCGGGCGCAGTTGTCTTTTTTCAGGGCCTGTCACTGGCCTGCCTGGTCGGCTTGCTGCTTTTCGTGAAGTAGGATTTTTCAATCGGGCTTCTAGTTTGCTTGTTGTGTGCGGTTGCCACGTTTTTGTGCAGTTGGATTCTTGTCGGGGCCTGTCACTGGCCTGCTGAGCTGCTGATTTCGTGTTTGTTTGGTGCACTTGTGTTTTTTCAGGGCCTGTCACCGGCCTGCTTGGTCGGCCTGCTGCTTTTCGTGAAACTGTGCAACAAAAAAACATGGCAGCCACGCACAGCAAGCAAACGTTGTTGAACTTTCTGAACTCCCCAAACAAAGAAATATCACTCTGGGGGCCCGAGATTTTGAACTTATTGAACTTTTTGAATTCCTCAAGTAAACCAACATCACTTTGGAGACCCATAATTTTAAATTTTTTGAATTGTTGAGCTCCCCAAGTAAAGAAACATCACTTTGGGGACCTGGGATTTTGTTCGTCTGATTTTGCCGGTCTCCCCAAATCAGGAACTAGGGTTTGATGGTTTTGGACCTTTTGTTTTGCAAAGTCCCCAAGCCCAAGGACTCAGATTCGAGGCGCCTGAATGTTGACCTAGTCAGTTTTTCAACCGTAACTTCCAACCCACCTCCAAACCATCAACCCGAACTAAATGAAACAACCCCCCTCCAAACCAGCAATCCCTCCAAACTACCAACCCAGACAAAATGAAACAAACGGCCCCTCCAAACCAGCCCCCTCCAAACCATGAACACAAACTCTTCAAACCAGCAACCCAAACTAAATTTGGAAAGGGGCCCCCTCCAAACTACCAACTCAAACATCGTGCATTTCTCTTTTTCGGACATGGCTGCTCGATTATTTTACATCATGTTTTTTGTTTTCAGTTTTATCTTTCTTTTTTAAAAATCTTTGTATATACATAATATATATATATATACACATGTTTTATTCCCCAAACAGCGAACATTGGGGTTCTAACTTGAGGTATAGAGAATAGGAAGGTGTGCCGCCGATTTCCGCTTGTCTTCCTGTCTCCCAGTCTCTCCGGTCAGATGCCAGATGCTGTGACGCTGGCTCCAGGGTCGTGTCTCCCGCCTGTCTCCCTGTGTCTCCCAGTCTCTGCGGTCAGATGCCAGATGCTGTGACGCGGGCTCCGGGGTCGTGTCTCCCGCTTGTCTCGCTGTGTCTGGATGCCAGATGCTGTGACGCTGGCTTCAGGGTTGTGTTTTTTGTGATGCTGGCTCCGGGGTCGTGTCTTCCGCTTGTCTTTGCAGTCGGATGCTGTGACGCTGGCTCCGGGGTCGTGTCTCCCGCTTGTCTCCCTGTATCTGGATGCCAGATGCTGTGACGCCTCTGCGCTGACGCCAGCTGCGTGTCTCCCGGGACGTGTTTCCCGCTTGTCTGCCTGTGTCTCCCAGTCTCTGCGGTCAAATGCCAGATGCTGTGACGCTGGCTCCGCGGTCGTGTCTCCCTCCCTGTGTCTGGATGCCAGATGCTGGGTCGTGTCTCCCAGTCTCTGCGGATGCTGTGATGCTGGCTCCGGGGTCGTGTCTTCCGCCTGTCTTCCCCAGTCTCTGCGGTCAGATGCCAGATGCTGTGACTTGTCTCCCTGTGTCTCCCAGTCTCTGCAGATGCTGTGACTCCCCCCTGTTTCTCCCAGTCTCTGCGCTCGTTGCTGCCAGCTGGCTGTTTTCCTGCTTACAGCCTTCAGCAGGAAAATGAAGTTCCCGGGCAAAACCAACTGAACCTGTTTCTTGCTTGGCATCCAGTAACCGGCGTTCGGCTCCAGCAGCTCGCAAGCGCAATTGAGAAGCATCAAGCTAGAAACATAGATTCGGCAAGTCAGCAGGAAGCACTTGCAACAATGTTTCGCAACGGGGAAAGAGCTGTCGCAGATTTTGCTGCTAGCCTGCGTGCAAAGGATGTGCCTCTCTCTTGGCCAAGCGCAGGTTTGCACCCTTGTGGAGCATCGTTGGAGCTAGAAACAAGCAATGTCGAGCCTTACATTTTTTGTCGTTAAGCAAACAAATCGTGACATCCGACTGATTGCTTTGCTCAGGAAACTGAGCTGCTTTTTGGAAGCCAGTGCCGCACTTCTTGGTCAAGTGCATCCTTGTGGCGCATCAGCAGGGCCCTGTCGATCGAGCCTTTAATATGTCTATGTTTCTCTCGATAAAAAATATATAGTGACATCCGGCTGATTGCTTT